CTAGCGCGCTTGATTTTGCCTTGAGCAAAAAAGTTTATAGGAACTTTTTTATAGGAAATTTAACGAGCTTTATTTCTGAAAATAACTAATTTTATCGTCAGATCAATTTTTGGCAAGTTACAGGCCATAATCCGGGAAAAGGTCCGATTTTAGGCCATTTTTGCCAAATTTGGCAACTTTCCGGTCCGAATTTAATGGCGCAAAGTTGAAATTCGGATTCAGCGTCAAAAATTACATAGGAATCGATGAAAACATTGCTACCCGGGATTTTTGCAGGCTATAGCCCTTTTCATGGCTTATTTGCCTGGACTATATGACAGGAAGTCTGCGACGTCGCAAACCGAGATACGTGGTTTGGTACTTTCACCGTCGATATGTGGTTTCTAAAATGAGCCAGAAATAGGGGTTCCTTATTGGCAAATGTGGTCCATTTATTATTGTGTTCTTATTCTTTTTTCTCCCGCACTACTCCTCGATCCAAGGATATTTCACTGAGTGCTTCTGGAAGCTTGGATGACAATTAAATCGATTTGACGATTCCTGATTCCTTGAATCAGTGGTGAAATCAGAATTCTTGATGAGCGCAATGAGCCACGAGGGCGGCCAGCCGTGTGCAAGTGCGTCGCGCTGTATAGCACGTGAGGCACCACCGTCAGTTGCTCGATAACTGTAATAAATCACGAATTTTATGGATTTATACGTTGAGTGTCAACCGAATTTACATTTAATTCGGCAACGTTGTACACGGTTAAACGGTGAGGCCACGTGATGTACGTAAGGCTCACTGATACGAAATGACACATCGATGGCTAAAGTTCGAAACTATGTATCCCTATACCGCCGTCCTAAGAAAAACGCCGTACAAGCATTCAAATGTTGCCAAATTCCCTCTCAGAAAATATCAATTTTTGAAGAAAGTTATGAATACTTTTTCTTGAAAATTTCTGACTTCAGATTAAAGGACGAATGAAATCCTCTGAAAAATCAGTACAGATATATTCACCAATTTCTCAATAAATACGTATTTTGTTGAAGGAAATTTGGCGACGCCTGATGGCTCATACGGCGTTCTTCCTTAGCACAGCAGTATAGCGGTGTTTCTTAATCTCTGCTCCTATTTTATTTTTCCGAAAAGAAACAAGTCAACTGTATAGCTAGAAATTTTCTGGTCATTCTGCTAACAGAGAAGAAAAAAAGGAAGTTTTCACGGAATTAAGTTGCTCTAGTTTTTTAATGATAAAACAAATTATGCTAGAAAGTCTGCAACGTCGCAAATAGAGATACTAGTTGTCACAGAAAAAAAATGTTAGGGTTTATTCCCTAAAATTATGGTACTACCCCGATTCGTTGGATGATGTGGACATTTCTAGTTAATTTTGGTAGCACCGCAATATTGGGGTTAGAAACCTAATTTATTGGGGTACTTCCACAATGGAGCTCTTGTAGGTGTCCTTTGCGATGTAAGTATTGTTTCCTATGTAAAATTTCGCGTGAAACACGATGGTGCAGTTTCTCGGTATTCCCTAACTGTAGCAACCCTGATAGTAAGTACAGAACCGGATTAACCGAACGGTCTATGTAAGCGTGCCCTCAACTGAAGTAACTGTATATTCGTTTCATACAACCGAGCCCTCGGTTATCACAATCGGCCTCCTTGTACAGTTTGGTCCGTGCAACCTAATTATTTCTGCAGTCCCAGCTTGATCGCCGTTTTAGGAAATTTCGACGATATTCCCCCATTTTTGAGCATTTCAGGTTTTTGCGCGTTTAGCAAGAAGAAAACGTATAATATCCACTGACGCCTTAGGCCCTGCAGCTTAATGCGATGGTACAGTGCCATGGAATTACGCAAAGTCGCTCGCGGTGGAAATGGCGACACTTTGTTGTAGTGTGTTTTGACGTGATCGGAAAACGGGAAATGCATTCCGCATACAAATCGATTCCTGCGCAAAAAGGGAAGGCATGTACGAGAGAATCTGCTTAAGAACACGTTTTTCCTCAGTGTTTCTTCCCTTGAGAGGACTTCGGCTATCTCTTTGGTTTCAGGTTGATGCTGACCAATAAAAATTAGGTTTTGAGAAAAGTATTATTCTTTGCTAGAGGCTGGAAACATCGATTCTTCGACCGAAACTCGAAAACACAAACAAATTTTAACAATTTACGATTCGATATGAAAAAAGAAATAAAAATGAAAAAAAAGTCATGGAATTACTCAAAATAATTCTCAGCTTTTTTGGACTTGTAAAACGTTTTGATGTGGATAAGAATGAAGGAAAGATTTTAAACATTTTCTTCACGAGCTTAATAGAAAAGATTTTCAACCGAGGAAGTAAAAAATAGCTCTTTAAGCGGAATTTTTTTTAATTAATAGGCAAAATTTACTTGAAAATTCTTTGTGATTGGTAAGTAAACCGATTGAAAAACCAAGAATCAAACTTTTTTGCTGACATTCGAATATAAATGATTCCGATGAAGCTATACTTTTAACTATCGTGATTATCTTCCTTTCAGAACATATACCAGTATTTTGTACCATATGCGTACCGTTAAATACAAATATAATCTCCGATTCCCCTAATTTAAAAACTTTGACGAGTCAACAAAATCAGAACACGAATCAGTTTTCAGAAGATTCCAAGTCAACTAAGTTCTATCATATTAGCTCATTTGAATACCGGGCTTGTTTTGCTACGACGCGAAAATTTAGATGACGAAAAACTTAACCTGGAACTGCAGTAATTCAACGGTCATTATCAATGCTTATCAGCTCGGTGAGATTTTTCTGGAAGATCATGACACCGCGAGTCCTTCAAGATCATGCCGTTCTGATCAACTGAGAGTCTTCAAACTTTGATACGAAATCAACCTTCAGCACAAATATTAGTAAGCAGACGATATTTGAGAAAAAATTTGCGCGCTTTTTCTCTCAAAATTTTTGTGTACTAAACAACATATTTAGTACTTTTAATTTTGGATCTTGCAAAGAAAACACAATATCTACCTAACCGACAGTAATTCGCTGAGACTTGAATTTCTTTCAAGACATTGACAATATCTTAAAGAAAATGAGAATATTATACTCGACTGCTTTGGAATTTTATTCCTAAAGGCTCGTGCAGTTTTCAAAAATCACGATCATAATGTACCAACATTTGTTCCCCAAAATGAATGAGAGCAAAGAGATTCATTCAATTTTTGCGAGAAAGCGAATTTTCTTTTTAACATACGAGTCTTTAATCCTCTCTCTCTCTCTCTACGGCTCCCCGCTCCCTCTTCTTGCTCTATTCGATGCGCGCCATTTGCTGCTGTATTAGAGAAAAACGTTGTGTGAAAATTTAGACGTTGCCAATAAAATCCGATTTTCTGAAAAATCAAAACACATATCGACGGTGAAACTGCCAGACCACGTATCTGATTTGCGGTTTTTAAAAATCTTTCCTCCCATTTTATTTTTTTAAAGAGAGCGAATCAATATAATTCCTTGAAGTTTTCACGGAGTTTTCATCGCGTAGAGAGGGATGATCACGGGGGTTTTCAAGAACTGACGTTGGATAATTTTTTTATTTAAAACATAAAGTATGTAAGAAGTCTACAACGTCGCAACGTTTTGGTGATTTTACCATCGATTTTACACGCTATTTAAACTAAAAAGCCTGAAAATTTCAAATGAAAAAATATGCGTAACTTCCATCAAAAGTAAATATCATATCGAGGGAAATTTTGCAACAATCGCATATTCACGGCGTTTTTCCTCAGCACGGAATGCTTGATCGAATATAAACCAGTTTCATTTCGCATCTTTTGCGTCCATTAAGGTATGTATCCTTACAAAGCAGAGCAAAAATATGATGTATCTGAATTGAGAAAATCCAGAGATGACTGCATGCTGCAAATTTAGGTCTGGCGCGGCGGGTGGTTGACCGATGCTTGTAAATAAGGGGGAAATCCTCGGATACTATACTTGCCTGTAGCAAAGCAATGCGCATAGACGCATAAATTTGGAAATACTTTATTTTGAGGACACTACGCGAGTGTCTCCTTAAAATATAGGTATTCTAGACTTCAATTTCAAAAAAAGAAAAAAAAAGAAAAAAAAAGAAAAAAAAATGACGCGAGAATAATTAAAAGAATGCGATGGTATCCGTTAATTACACCACACTCTAATAAATAGAAGGGTGGAGGTCTGAAAATTCGTAAAATAATAGAGGAAAGCTATTCTTTTTTTTTTTTTTTTTTTTTTTTTTTTTCCAAATAGCTTTGCTCTGTTATTTTACGCATTTTCAAACCTCCACCCCTGTATTCCTTACAGTGTGATATAATTCACGGATACCTCCTCATTCGTTCAATAATTCTGAGACACGGATCATTGACTCTTCCTGGTGCTTAAGGTGGAACAGCACGGGAAAAACGACCCAAGGTCCGAGGGGTAGGTTCCTAACAGGCTTTAACTGGCTTTGGATAAATGCCAGTGTTACTTTTTCCAGAGTAGATACAATTCGGGTAAGGCTGGAACCTGTATCTACCTAGACCATGCCATATTATTTTGACCTATCTTTCAAAGCATGACCACTAGCAGGGTGTCTACTAAAACAGGCTGGCCGAAAATCAGTAATTTTACGGTGCCCTTTCTGTTTCAGTACATTCCCAAGAAATCCAGTACCTCCTCAACAGCGAAATTTAGTACTTTTTCACTACCCCCTTTGGACGAAATTCGATAAATTTCAAAAATTTGAATTTCTCGCTCCAATTGCTACAAAAATGACATAAATTCTGGACCATCTCAAGGAATTTCCGCACTTTTTCAGTACTTCCAGGCCGCCCTGGAAAAATCAGTACTTTTTCCGGACTTTCCGGACTTATAGACACCCTGCTAATAGATTATTTTTTCCGCCCTAAAAAAATCAGTACTTTTTCCGGACTTATAGACACCCTGCCACTAGATCATTTTCTCCTTGAAAACTTCATCCCCCATGCCAGATCTCTAACTCAACGGCACTTACTTTTAGCGGCCCACGGCATGCCGTTCTTGAGGGCGGTCAGGTAGAGCTCGGTGTCGGCCTCGCAGCTGGGGCTCAGCTTGGAGCTGGGGTTGCGCATCCTCCACTTGTCGGCCAACCGGCTGGGGTTGTACAGGTCCAGCACCTCGACCAGGCTGTGGCTCGAGTTCGGCCGGAAGACGGGCGTCCCGCGGAAGTCCGACATGAAGGGCGCCGACGCCCGCAACAAATTCTGCGCCTCCGCGGCTTCCATCACCTCCTTCTCGCCCAGGCTCCGTTTCTCCTCGGCACTTCTCCTAGCGCGACTCTCCTTCTCAGCGTTTCCATCTTTATCCTTCTCGTCTTCGTCTTCGGTATCCCTGGTCCACTGGGTCTTCCCGGAGTGGCCGTACAGGAGATCCGAGTCGTCCTTGTCGGCGTAGTCGTCGTCGATGTCCAGGGCGCGGTCGCCGACGATGTCGCCGAAGGTGACCTCCCGATCGTCGTTGTCCTCTTCCTCGATGTCTTCCCCCTCGTTCCCGATCTCGGCGAGCTTCGCCTTCAGCTCGCCCAGCATCCGAGCGTTCTCGGCGTTCTCCTCGGCGGTCTGGTTGTTGCTGGATTCCGTTTCTTTCGCATCGCTGTTGCTCGCCACCAGGATGATGTCGTCGACGTTTCGGTCGATCTTCCGGTTCTCTTTGCCGTCTTTGATGGTCTCCGCCTCCTCCTCGGCCATCCGCTGGCTCGCCGACTTCTTCGGGATGTCCGTGTTCATCACCCGACGGACCTCCTCGTCTACCGGACTTGCAGCCGGGGTTTCGGACTCCTGGGTGGTTCTCTCACTCGTCGCGTTTTCCGGTTTCCCGCGCGAGAGGATGACGCTCATGTTCTGGTTCATCTGGGAGAGCCCGTCGCGCAGAGCCGCCAGCTTCGGGAACGAGGACCATTTCTCGGAGGCGTTTCGGGATACATAGGAATCGTTCGAGAAAGGGATCGAGTTGTTACTCGAGCTCGAGCTTTCGATCGATTTGCACTGGCTCAAATAGATGAGCGTCAAAACGCTCAAAATTTTTAACAGCATTTTCGTTGAATCGTTCAGAGTCATACAACAAACATTTGAGCTTGATGAAATGTATCTGGGAATCAGAGCTGAAGAGCACTTACGGTTGCACAAGTTGAACGCAACGTTTACTCTTCACACAATCAACGAAATTTCAGATTATCCAACAATGATAAAATCTATTTTTGCGTTTTTTCCCCTTTTAAAATATCTCAGAAAAAACAAAAGGCACAAACTGTAATTACTGTCAATTATTGGTAAAAAGTTTGGTCGAAAGTGGTTAGAGTGGTCACAAATGGTAAACACGGACAAATATCTAAAGCGTTAAATTTGGGCCAAGTTTTTTTATAAAGTACAAGATTAAAATTTTTTAAAAAATTGAAAACTCGAACGCCAGCATAAAAGCGACCATCCGAAGGCAATTTCTCAAAAAATCATCGTCGCAGAAAAACATACAAAACTAATCGAGGAAAGAATTCTTCACTAATATACAATTTTCCGAACTGTCTGATTAAATCTCGAAACGCGGGGTTGCACCACGAGTCGCGAAACACAAGTGACGGGTTCGAGATCCACGAGGAAGCTTCGAAAATTATTCAAAAATTTCTAGGAAACGAATTCGCCGGGGCAGGAAAACGATTGGCGGAAACTTGCGGGAGCGCGCGAAATTCCGAGCGATCACGAAAAATCCGCCGTGCAGAAATCGGAGGCGTGTGTCGTCCAATGCGGTCACGAGAGCGACTGGAAAACAAACGGGAGTCGCGGGTGTCGAACCGTCGATCGGCGGAAGAGAATCGCGACACAGGCCGAGGGTTCGATAGAGTGGCGGCGGCGACCAATCAGGATCGACGCGAGACGCGGAACCGGCGCACATTGGTTCCGAGACCCGATCTAGGTGGCATTAATTCGAAAAAATGAATTTTGGAAAAATTAAAATTTGACACCACAGATTGATAGTGCATACTCTCGAGAGTAACTTGGCCAAATATCATGAAGATTGGCTCACTAATAAGGAAATGATAAGCACCTAAAGGTGAGGCCGCGAGGTACTTTTGGGCGGACTCGCACCAGTTTTCAGTGTTTACTGTCAGGTCCTATGATTTGAAGTTCATCACACAGAAATAGATGCAAATGTGAAGTGTTCTGTTATGGTGTATCAAAAATATAAGGCATGTTAAAGGTTTATACGTTCTTACTATCTTTCAAAAACGTGTCTATACATCTAGACAAGCCGTTAGACAAAGCGTTATTTTCTACTAATTCCAAGCAAATTTTTACAAAAATGGCTCTAGATGAATGTCTTGCGCCGGTTCGCACGCATACAGACCTACTGTAGTAGTT